GCCCGTAGCGCTTTCGGGGTCTGTTGGACCCGGATGGCATCCTGGCACAGTCTCCAGCTGTGTGCCTTTGAACCAGTCACTTAACCTCTCTGAACCTTGGTTTCCTCCTCGTAAAATCTCTGCAGGGTTCTGGCAGGGTTTCCTGAAGGTTAATTGGGATAATCAGCATAAACCACTGTCACTGTTGTCATCCCTATTGTCAGCCCCATATAGTTACAGCCCACTTACTTCTTCTCTGTCCCCTCCGTTCAGAGAGTGTCTTTATCTGTGAAACCGCAGTGCTTGTCAGGGAGAGGTGGCGGCAGATAGGAGACCGCGCTTTGAGTCAGTCCCCCCCTCCCCGCAACCCACCACCAATCTTTGCTCCTCTTCCCTAGAAGAGACACAGAAGCCTGGTTGGGGTGGGATGGAGGTGAAGAACCATGTGGAGCCCCCGATCAGTTCCCCATACCTTAGCTTCAAGCGGTTTCACAAATGGCAACAGAGACACTGGCATTTAAGGGGGAAACAAAAGCTTATTCCAAAGCCAAATGGAGCTATAGCTCAGACTCCCACCACGCGAGCCTCCCCCAAACTGCAGCTCTTCATTTCTGAGCTAATCAAGAGCGGCCTTTAGCTGGCAGAGCCACAGCCACACGGCTCCTGTGCTCTTTGCAACACAGAGACCTCCTGGCTGTGCCCATCTGTCCTTGAGATTTGGGAGACAAATGGATCTCCTGCTGCCGAGGGGTGTCCTCCAGCCCCAGGAGGGTGTGCTGGGAGCCGGGCAGAGGCCTGGAGAGCAGGAGAAGAGGCCGCATAGTCCTGATGTGGCAGCCAGGGGAAGGGGGAGGGTGGCAGTGGGCAGACAGTGAAGCTGCCCTCAGTCCCAACACATGGCTCCCTCAACAAAACACCAAACATTCACTTAGCCCTCCCGTGCTCAGAGCCCTTTGCATGGCTGTCCATGTGAGAGGAGCGAGGCAAGAGGAACTAAGTCTGGAACGCTTTCATTTTTCTTCGGAGTTCTGAATGTGTGGCTGGGGAGAGAAATCTTGGCTTGTATCTGACGTGTGGGGAGAGACAGGGGTGCAGTGGGAGGGACTCACATGCTGGAATTGGACACACCCGGGGTACCATCTCAGCTCCATTGTCCTCTATCGATATGATCTTCAAGTTCTTTAACCTTTTGTGCTTCACCTTTTTCATTGGGAAAATAGGGTGACACAGTGATGGAGCAAATCCTGTTAAATTTGGGCTGAGTCATTGTAAGGATTGGGAGTAATACTCATGAAGCATCAATCCAGCCAGTCGTAAGTGGTAGCTAGTGTTCTTATTCCTTTTTCTCTCTAGAAATATATGCAGGGGTCTCCAGCCTCCTGGGCTTTCTGGAGTCTACAGTCTCCAACCTTGAATATAGACAGCACTGCTTGGCAGTGAATCACAGGCTCCTGCTGATGGCATTTCCCCCATTGCTTATGTTCATTAACCCTTGTGTTGCTGTTAAACTTTTCACATGTGCCTTCCTCTTTAAGAGGTTGTAAAGCTTTGAAGGTAAACTCAGTGTCCCAGTATTTTTTATATTCCACCAGAGGCCACGCCCAGCCCAAGGCATCAACTGGCCTTGCACACATGACTGATCCTTCTTGATTTGTCCTGAAAGGAGGTTGGTGCAGGAGAGGAGTGCAGAATGGGTCTGGAAAGTGGATTGAGGCCAACTGAGAATGCCAAGGGAGAATTTTTATTTGAATCCTATGATTGTGGCCACTGAAGTGGTCTTAGAGCAGGGGAGTGACAGAGTGAATGGGTGTTTCATGAAGATCAATCAGAGAGTGGCAGGCAGCACTGTTATAGGGCAGATGGTCAGCCAGCATGAGCTAATGTGGCTCTGGCCAGATGTGAAGTAATGGGGTCTGTAGTGGAAGAGAGGAAGAAAGCTGTTGCTGGGACGGGTCTCCACTCACATAGTGCTTCAGAGAAGGGACAGGCAGGTTGCATAGCATGGCCAGGTGGAACAGCAAGTTAGAAAGAGGTCAATTGGGAGTCTGAAACTTTCATCCTATTTGGCTTCCTGAGTTTGGGATAAGGGCCATTTGTGTGTTCAGTGAAAACCCTGCCATAAACCTCTGGGTGGATGTAAAAATGGAAAATGTGATGTTTCATTATTGCAAAGTTAATAAATTGGCCGGAGTAAACCCACGCAGCCACCAAGCTGTGCACTTCAGAGTCTGGAAGCCAAACTGTCTATCATACAATGTACATCAGAATTTGTGCAATATGGGTGGGTTGTCACAGAGTTTTATCCTAGGATAGGCATTTCATGTTTTTCCCCCCTCATTCCTTTCAAAGCTGGCAGGAGGATGAGGGTGGGTAAGCCGAGCGCCTTTGGGGGCCCCTCTCCTCTGCCCAGAATCTGGGGGCTTGTGTCCAGCCCTCTCCTTTCACTCGGGAAAATCTAGGTTCTGTGGGTCACAACCAGAACCCTAGCCTGGCCAGGGAGAGACCAGGGCTCACAAGAGAAGGCGCAGGGAATGATGCTGACTTGGCTCTATAAAGCAGGTGTTTATGCATGACCCACCCCTTCCTCCTTCCAGCATGCCAATTAGGCTGCACTGGAGGGGCGTGGCCTCTACCTCAGCTCAAGCAGGAGGAAGGCTCAGAGAGTGTCTCCTCCTGACCTTCCCCTCCTCTGCTGCCACCTTAAGTAACAGCCACTTGCTCCCAAGCTCCTGGGACACCATTGCTACCTTGGACAGCTCCCATTTAGAGCCTTGGTAATTGGCGCTGGAAACTGCCTGCTTGCCACCTCCACCATCCATCTTTGTTCCCCCTCTGAGCCCATGGAATGAGCCTGTTCCCTTCTGTAATGGCTGCTTGAGACATTGAAGTAAAAAATACATGGTGATACATTATTGGTCTGATGGCTGCTTTTTAAAAACAACACACAATTCTAAACTGCCACCCAATCCTACAGTCAGAGACACAGTTTAACTCTTCCCTGCTTGGAGCTTTCATTTTCTTTCATTGTCTCCCCTGCCCAGGAAGCTTTGGAGCTTCATTTGGCAAAAGCAGTGAATGTAGACAAGAGAGCTCAGGCACTAGTCCCAGCGCAGCCTTGCAGACCTCCCCAGGCAGCCAGAGTCAGGGCCAGACAGAACAGGGCAGGAGTGTCCTTGGAATAGGAGAGGCAGAGAGGGTGAGGGATCCTTAAGACGGAGAGGGTGGGGTGTGCAGGGTGGGTGTTGGGGGGCTGGGGCTAGCATCTACTCTGAGGTTTTTCTTCGCTACTTTCTTGTTCCGTGATGGGTTGGAGAGACAGGGTACTTTATGTCCGGGCTTTGGAACGTTGACAAAAGTGGCCCTGAAACAGCAGTTCTCAGCCATGCTATTCATTAGAATCACCTGGGGAGTATTTAAAAGATCCCAGTGACTGGGCCTACTCCAGTCCAAAGGCCCAGATAAAGGCAGGGTTTTTGTTTGTTTGCTTGCTTGCTTAAGGTTTTTAAAAGATTCCCAGGAGATTTTAATTTGCAGTTAAGACTGGAAACCACTGTTCTAGAACTGGCTAGGCCCTAGATGAAAGAATGATGCCTTGCATTCCTCCTGAATCTTCTGCTTTGATCTCGTGTGAACTGATTCAAATGTGCTGCTCTTAGTCGTTTTCTCTATTGGCAGACATATGTTTTTGATAAATAGCATCTTTATTATTACTAATAACCACTAGTCATGGCTAGTTCTTTTTTTAAAATTTAATGTATGTTGCTTATTAAGTGCAGTATCAGCCGCTTCTAGAGTTTGGTATCCCTTTCGGAGAGCTGGGGGAAATGCGCTCAGGAGTGGGCTTTATTGAATTCTAACTGGTTGAGTTTGCTAGCTGCCAATTTGGTCCAAATGTCAGCACGTGAGCAGAATCTGAAAACCACAGGTTGCTGGGGCTATGCTTACACGTGTATTTAGTCCCATAATGTCTAATTTGATGCATTCTGCTGGCAAAACACTCCCCAATCAAACCATTGATCCTAGATGAAAATAAGAGTGTACTTATATACTATACAATTTACACAAATTGTGCTTGAGTGAATAAAGTGGAAACAGATTCTTGAGCAACAGATGATGTTCTGCATTCCCAGGTGGGCCAAAGTGTGCTTCCCGGGCTCCAGCAAAGCCCTCACCCACTAAAGCCCCAAGCCCCACCTCCCTTATACAGGTCAAGGGTTGCTGGAAGAGGGACAGCATTGTCTTCTTTGACCTCTGCTGCTGACAAGGGAAGCCGGTCGTCTTCCCTGTAAGGCCGCTCATAAAACCTCTTTTCTCTCTGGAGCCTGGTCTGGAGGCACAGACTATTGAATTCACTAAAAATAAAGAACTCGCCTGACAGGTGACTCTCCCTGAAGCTTCAAGGAGACACCAACAGGGGCAACCCCTTGACTCTTTAGTATAGCCCTTTAGCCCTCGACATCCCTGGCCCCACTGGCCAATGGAAAGTCCCTCTGCAGACTCCAGGAGGATAATAACAGTGCCTTCATTATTGGGTTGTTGTATTACATTCTTACATGCTTGTAAACCACTTAAAGTGATGCCTGGCAAACAGTAAGTGTTCGATGAACTTGTCATTGTGGAGGGCAGTTGGATGGACAGGGGTGCCCAGAGGGGAGTGGCCAGGTGTATTCTTGGGATGCAGTGAGGCTGGGAGGCCAGTGGGCTTGAGTCTCAGGGCCTCTGTCTGGCAGGGCATGCCTGGGGGCCCGGGACCCGTACTGCGGCTGGGACGGGAAGCAGCAACGTTGCAGCACCCTCGAGGACAGCTCCAACATGAGCCTCTGGACCCAGAATATCACAGCGTGTCCTGTGAGAACCCCTTCATCCTCCACCCCCAACCCAGGACCTGTCCCCCCATTTCAGGCTGTGACTCCCCAGCAGAATCCTCACACCCCCTAGGACCTCCTGCCTTCCCTACCCCTGCCTTCTGTGACTGGACCCCCGCCTCTGATGTCTGTCTGCAGGTGCGGAATGTGACTCAGGATGGGGGCTTCGGCCCGTGGTCACCCTGGCAACCATGTGAGCACTTAGATGGGGACAACTCAGGCTCTTGCTTGTGTCGAGCCCGAGCCTGTGATACCCCTCAACCCCGCTGTGGGGGCCGAGACTGCCTGGGGCCAGCCATCCACATTGCCAACTGCTCCAGGTATGTGTGGATACAGGGTTTGCATGGCTACTGTCTTCACCTGGAGTGGGGCATCCCTAGCAAGATGTTTGCACTAAAGGGTGGAAACCACGTCAGGGCTTTACAGGCCACTGGACAGGTAGCTAAAGTCTGAGGCAGGAAACATGAGCATTGGGGGAGCTTCTACTTCAGTGGGAGAGAAATTCTGCCTTATGAGAACTCTTGATACAAAGAGGAAGGCTGGACAGACTTGGGAGTCACCCCTGGACAGGCCTTAGCCTTAATAAGCCTTACTGTCCCAGACATGAGGGGCAGCATGGCATGGTGGTAAGGCAGGCGGGCCTGGTGCCAGTCCTGAATTGCCACTGCCTGGAGGTGTGGCCTTGGCCAAGCCACCTAACCACTCTGAGCTTCTCTAAGTGGGGCCAACACTCCCACCCCAAGGGTTGTTGAGAGCGTTACAGGAGGTGATGTGTATGAAGTGCCCGCACACTGCCTAGTACTTGGGGGCCTCATGAAGTGGTTATCACAAGTAACCCCCAATTCTGGACACGTGTAAAATAACTTTATTAATACATTTATTAATTTAACTGTCGAAAGAACCTGATGGTGGTAGGCATACAATCATTATCCTTACTTTAAAGATACGCATATGATGAGGCACACAGGTTTTAGTCACTTGCCCAGGCTTATACAGCTAGTAAGTGGTAGAGCCAACATTTGAAAATTGGAGTCAAAGTAGACAGGAGTGAGTGGTGTCTAAGGTTGGAGCAAAGCACTTGAGGGGGTAGAGCAGGAGAGGGAGCATGGGTTTGAGTACAAGAATCGGCTAACCAAGAAGGCTGAAACAAGGGTTGCAGATCGGAAAGGCGATAGGGGCCGTTTCTAGAGAATGTGTCCTTTTGTCCCTGTGAGTAGCGCCCATGTCCTATCTCTGTACCCTTAGCCCTGAGCACAGTCTGATATATGCAAGAAGGCTCTCAACACATGTTTGAGGATGGATGGGTAGCTGGTTGAGTCACTGTCTGCCACTTCCTGACAACAAGTCTATCTGCCCAGAAGTAGACTAGATCAGAGAAGCTAGGGCTCAGATGTCATCTGTCTCTGTCCCCTCCGACCCCGCCAGGAACGGGGCGTGGACCACGTGGTCGTCGTGGGCCCTGTGCAGCACGACCTGTGGGATAGGATTCCAGGTCCGCCAGCGAAGTTGCAGCAACCCTGCGCCCCGCCATGGGGGCCGCATCTGTGTGGGCAAGAGCCGGGAGGAGCGGTGAGCTAGTCTGTGTCGGGAGGCGGGGGTGGCATGGTG